TATCTATATTTTTTAAACGTAGGTATTTTTTATTCCACACACTTTTAAATACTTTGTATATTTTTAAAATGCATATATTTAAAAATAAAATAAAATACTGTATACATTTCAAAGATAATGTACATTTTTAAAATAATTAATTTGTATATTTCATACATTTAAAAAAAATATTTTTAAATAACATATTTTGTATTTTTTTAACAACTGCACACATTTCAAAAGGACGTATATTTTAGAATAATTCATATTTTAAAATGTACATTAGTTATATTTCATACATTTTGAAAGTTTTTTTATTAGATTTTTTCAAACTATATCTTTTTAAAGAAGCGTTGAATACATTTCAAAAGAATGTATATTGTCTTAAATAATTTATATATTTTTCAAAATATATAATTTTGATCAATTTAAAAAAGATGTATTTTGAAAATAATTGATGTATTTTTCCGATGCATAATATATATTTTTAAACAATTATTGTTTGCATTTCAAAAAGGTACATATTTTTTACATAATGAACTTGTATATTAAAAAAATATGCATATTTTTTTAATATACAAGTTCATTATGTAAAAAATATGTACCTTTTTGAAATGCAAACAATAATTGTTTAAAAATATATATTATGCATCGGAAAAATACATCAATTATTTTCAAAATACATCTTTTTTAAATTGATCAAAATTATATATTTTGAAAAATATATAAATTATTTAAGACAATATACATTCTTTTGAAATGTATTCAACGCTTCTTTAAAAAGATATAGTTTGAAAAAATCTAATAAAAAAACTTTCAAAATGTATGAAATATAACTAATGTACATTTTAAAATATGAATTATTCTAAAATATATGTCCTTTTGAAATGTGTGCAGTTGTTAAAAAAATACAAAATATGTTATTTAAAAATATTTTTTTTAAATGTATGAAATATACAAATTAATTATTTTAAAAATGTACATTATCTTTGAAATGTATACAGTATTTTATTTTATTTTTAAATATATGCATTTTAAAAATATACAAAGTATTTAAAAGTGTGTGGAATAAAAAATACCTACGTTTAAA